TGGTTATAAGTGTGCATTTGACCAGGTGTGCCCAAGAATCATTAGGTCGGCTAAATGTGAATGTTGTTGTGTGATCAAGTGGTAACACCGACCGACGGGCAAACATCAGTTGAAATGGAGAGTATCCAGTACTTCGTTGTTCACCCGTATTGTAGGCATAGATTACCGCGGGCAAATAATCATTCCAATTGTTCAAGTTTTTATCGTATAACTTTGATAATTTAAGGATTTGCGGATGAAATATTGCGTTGAATCGTTCAATGAGATCATTTGTCATTAGATGATATGATGTTCATTTGATGTGATTCGTATCCAATAACATAGTGATATTGTTCATTAGCTCGCTTTTGAACTTGGTGCCTTGATCAGTGATCAGCCGTCGTGGTACGCCGTATTTAAATACAAATTGCTCGACGAAACATTGTGCTGTTGTAGCTGCCGTGGTGTCTGGAAGTGGATGAGCGACTACGTACTTGGTGTAATAATCGGTGATGGCCAAGACGTATTTGTTACCGTATGTGGAATATTGTGGTGTGGGTCCCCAAAAATCCATGCCCACGAGCTCCAAAGCTCGTTGGGGATAGTCGATTGGTTGTAATTGACCAGGCGATTTTGTTCGACGGAGATTGAACTTTGCACACTTCTCACACGATCGAATGTAATTTTGGATGGTTTCTTTCATCATTAGCCAATAAAATTTTATTAGCGTCGCTACCTGCTGTTGTGTTATCAGCTTGTATAGAAGATCATTTTCGATGATGAAATTTGAATGTATATATTTGGTCTTCAGCTGTTCTTTAATCTTTAAAATGTGAGAATCGTGCTGCTGTTCGTCGACTAAAATCAAAGATTTCGTGCCAGACTAAAATCAAATGCCATCGATGCTGGCCATATTAGTATTGTCTACACACCTAATCCATCCACCACACTACACACCACGCACAACCCCATACCGCGCTGTTTTCTGTATTATATACATAATATATTGACGCATTCATTATAATTACAGCATTCAGTTACAGGTGTGAAGCGTTCAAATGAACTGAGTCAATTCAAACCACAAAGTTCACTTACATTGTCAGATAATTCTATTCCAATTTTAAGGTATTCCTAGAGAAAAACATGGGTATACAAAATTGATTGTTACACAACAACAGAGCATCTTACCATAGTTATGGAACCACATAGGTGATTTTCAATATCAATGGATATTTGAAGCCCTTCTCGAAGTGCTTGTAGTATTGTAATTTTTGTTATTAAGGATACCTAGGTAAGCAAAAAATTACTGAAGATGGCCGTCAGGACTAGTCCGAAACGTCCCTTTCGCTCGTCACGACTAGTCCAGTTTTTAACAAATGGCCGTATAACCCTAGACTGGTGAAAAGAAACTGACACCCGAATCGGACGGACGTCTAGCTTGTTGTTCTAGACAAATACGACTGTGCCCGTCAACAAGCACTTTCTGATTAGTCTTTTGGGAAAATAATGTACGGTTCAATTATACATAGAAGTGTATGTCGCATTTTGTACAGTAATTTACAATGTTACCAATGGTAGCTTCATGAAACCAAATGTAGCCGGTAGCAAGAAATTGGAAAAGAAAAACTGAACTCCTCCATTATAACACAAATATCAGGTGATAAGCGTCTTACAATACCGATAGATTATGTCGTACTATCAGTCAGAGGTC